CCAAGGCTGAGGCCTGAGGGTCTGCACAGGACTGAGCTGGTGGCCTGGGGTCGGGCCCAGGCTGGAGGGGAGGCAGCCTGGAAGGGAAGCGATGCCCCGGGGAGGGGCGTGGCCTCCGGGCTGGAAACACCTGCATCGGATCCCAGCTGTGCCCCGCCAGCCGGGCGACCGTGGGCTGCCTCGGACAGCTTGCCGCTCAGTCCTCGCCCCTAAAACGAGGGTGGGGAGCACAGCCCTCCCTCCCGCAGGGTCCAGGGCGTGAACCAGCCACGTGGGCAAAGTGCACAGCCCGCATACGCTGCAGAAACGGGGGCTGGTTTTGTGCAGGGAGGGAGGCCCGGGTTCGAGCCCAGCCTCCGCCCTGTCCCTCCCCAGGCACAGTCCCTGCCCTCCGGCCTGGCTCCTGCCCAGGTGCCCGCCCACCTCACAGGTCCCGGGACTCGGACACGGGGCTCACAGAAGTGCCTCGTGCAGCGTGGAGGTCACAGATCTTAAGATGGGGTGGTGTCTTGTATTAATAAAACGTCATTATGTAAGAGAGGGCTTCATTTTACTAGATGTGTTTCTGCCAAAAGTCTGACGTCTGCAGTTTTGCTCCCGTGTGGTGGCTGTGGCCCAGCGGGCTGGGGCGCTGGTTCTCCGTTGTTCACACGCAGTCCCCCCAAACCGGGACACGGTTCTGAGATGCAGGGCTGGCGACCGCAGGGCCTTGGTGCCGTCCGTCCTCGGACGGGCCCTCTGCACACGGCGGTCTCTCTCCGGCTCCCAGTGCTCCCGACCACCTCTCTCCTTCCTTCCCTCCCTCCCTCTTTCTTTTTCCTTAATCCTCACTCGAGGATGTGTTTCCCATGGATTTCTTTATTTTAGAGAAAGGAAGGGGGAGAGAAAGAGGGAAACATCGATGTGAGAGAGAAACATTGATCCGTTGCCTTCCATACACACCCTGACCAGGGATCGAACCCACAACCTGGTGTGTGCTCTGACCAGGGGTCTCCAGGGATGAACCCCCACCCGGGGGTGAGCGGGGTGGCACTCAGCCAGCTGGACCACCGCCAGGGCTCCTTTCTTTTTGTCCAGATAATTCCTTGGGCCAGTGCCCCATCCCCTTCCCCTCCGGCCCCAGGAAGCTGGCGTATCGTTGGACAAGGGTCTTTTACGATTATTGGTCAAAATCCGGGTTTTGAGGCGGAGACTCAGCACTCAGAAGCCGTTACCATCCTCGGGAACCCGGGCCCTGAGTGGCCTCCCCTGAGGAGGAGGGGACAGGTCCCCGGCCCCGCCCACCGGCCTTGCTGCCACTCCAAGTGACAGGCAGCTGGCCCCGGACCACGGTGGCCCTCGGGCACTGGCCTTGCTTCAGCCGCCCCGTGCCCACCTCCCCCTGGCGCCGCGGGTGCTGCGGGCAGGGT